GTTGTGCCATCTCTCTTAGAGGGTTTGGTTTCTCATACCTGCGCCACCTCTCTTAGAGGGTTTGGTTTTCTCATACCTGTGCCAGCTCTCTTAGAAAGTTTGGTTTTTGCTGTTGTGCCATCTCTCTTAGAGGGTTTGGTTTTCTCCGACTTGCGCCATCTCTCTTAGAGGGTTTGGTTTTCTCCGACTTGCGCCATCTCTCTTAGAGGGTTTGGTTTTCTCCAAATTACGCCAGCTCTTGTAGAGGGTCTGGTTTCTTCCTACGAGCCAGCATTTTTCGAGTGATTTGTTTTCTTGTTTGACTTTTTAATATCTGTGCCAGCTCTTTTCAAGTGTCTGGTTTTTTATGTGATTTTTTCCCTTATGCCGGCTCTCTTATGTCTGTTCTAAAATCCTGTTACTGTCTAGAGCCTTATTCTCGTTCATGAAAGAGTTCCTTCAGCATGCGCAGAGCGGTCTGCTTTCTTGATAGAACCAGCCCTCTTGTCAGCGTCAAGTTAAATTGATACATGTATCTCCTCCAGCGTTTTAAAGTAATCTAATCTCCTCAAGTACAAGCCATTTACTGACAAGGTAGAGGACAGAAATTCCCATGAAATCCAACACTCTCAGGTTGAGTCGTAATCCACCGTATCCAGTATTTGCAGCAAGGTCAAAGCCAAATTGTCCGTGAAACTATCAGGCGTGTATACTCTGGTACACACAGTTTACCGACGAGCTACAATAATATAGGAAGTTGTCATCAACTTTCGCCTTTTTCGAAGAAAATTTAGCACTATGAATAGTTCAATAACGCTTGGGATCAGGCATTCAGGCCTTGTACCTGTACTTGAGAGATAATAGATTCTAGGATGAAGCTACCAATATGAGTTCAAGAGAAAACCAATAATTTAAGACTTCGCAAAAGAGGCAGAAATCAAACTTGAATCAACCTAAGGGCTTTTCCTAGGGCGATGCTACACCACTGCGCAGAATAGTGCAAGAAGCCTGCTAGCAAGATATCCCCTGAACATGTTGGATGATGGATCCAAGTGGAGTATGTACCTACCTTACCTACTATGGTGATTCCTTGGCAACGGCGTCTGGGTTAGTCTCATCCGTGAATTTGATTGGTCTAGAAATGAAGGTACGGTGGACTATTTATACAAAAAGGACTTTTGGATTTTTTACTGTTTGCCACATGTATTACCTATTGCCACTACCTCCACACAACATTAAAAGTTGTATCAATATTGAATTCTTATA